CAGCAGCGACAGCCAGCTGCCCCCCGCGCTCTTGTTGGCCTCCCGTTCCTTCTCCACATTGTCCTTGGCCTTGTCGTAAGAGAAGATACCCAGGTGAGAGAAGAACGTCTCCAGCACCGCCTGTTCCACCGGCACCGGGGCGGCTAGCGGGATAGACTCCCCCATGCGACCTGCGCGCCAGCTCCACCCACGTGGCTCCGCTCGCACTTCCGGGTTCCGAGGGGGGACGCGCCTGCGCAGCCGCGTGCGTGCGCGTGCCCGCGCCGGGCCGGGAGAGCGACTGGATGCTCCGGGGAGCTGGCAGAAGGCGTGGCGATGTGGGAGGGTCGAGGCGGCTCCCGAGCGTGGGCGTCTGATCCTCTGAAGACTGAGACCCGCTGCAGAGCTCCAAGCTGGCCACCTCCAGGCCTCCGGAGGCGTCCTGCGCCCTTGTCCCCCCAGAAGCCCCCGGCGGGCCAGCCCCTTAGCGCGCATGACGTCACGCGGGCTTGACGTCAGCTCTGGCGTGCACATCAAAGCCCGACTTCTGATCAGCCCTGGCACCAATGGAGGTTGTTGGGTGGAAGCCTGACGGTTCATGACGTGTCGCCTAGTTGTCACCCCTACACACGCCGTCAGCTGACGCCTGGCCATGCCAAATCTGTGTGGGTCCGATTCCAGAGCTAGAAGGCACTCTTCATCTTGCCCATCCCTCTCAAAGTCTGTGAGGCTTCCTGATAGGGGGTCCTCAGCGTCAAGGATAAATTCACATAAGTCGTTTACACTTTGTCATGCAGGTTCTTCACAAGTTCATGTGACATTTAAAGACCTCCAGCTCGGCTCACATAGGTGTCTGCTGTCTTGAAATGCTGCCCACACACTCTGTGTTTTTTTTCTTTGCATATCTTGTATATAAGTGTTTATTTTACACCATTCACACTGAGTGTAGGTGTGTGTATGTTTATGTATCTCTTTCCCGTCAATGAGGAGCTGACATGGGCAGAGACTAGAGTCTGCTTACCATTCTAATGGTTCATAATGGAAACAGGGATGTTCATTGAACAATTCAGAGAACTATCTTCATTTCGCGCCCCCCCCAATTCCAACTGTGATATCATCATTACCTGTGGACTATTTATTTGTTTATTTATTTGTTGTTGTTATTTTCTTTGTTTTGGTTTTGGTTATTTGAGGCACGGTCACACCGTGTAGCTCTAGCTGGCCTAGAACTCTCTATGTAGACCAGGCTGGCCAGAGATCCTCTTGCTCTTCTTTGGAACTACAGGGATTAAAGACATGGCCACCATGCCCAGCTCACTGATACCTTTTAATGAGTGAGTAACTAATCTAGTTTCAGAGATATTGTGCATTTGTTTCCTGGCCTCAAGAATGTGCTTGGGTAAGTTCAAACCTTTTGATGGTTTATAAGGCAGGCTTTTATGCTTGACATAAAAGGGGAAGCTTCCTAAGAATGTGCTATTCATGAAGAATGAACACAGGTTAGAAGTCAAAGTGTAGTACTGGCTCCCACACCAACAGACAGTGACAGTGTTCATTCCCAGTGTTACAAGAAAACACAAGAAGTCCTTACATCAGTGGTTCTCAACCTGTGGGTCGCAACACCTTTAGGGGTCAAATGACTCTTTCATGTGGGCCACATATCAGATATACTGCATACAGATATTTACATTACGATTCATAACAGTAGCAAAATTACAGTTATGAAGTAGCAACGAAAATTATTTTATGGTTGGGAGTCACCACAACATGGAGAACTGTATTAGGAAGGTTGAGAACCACTGCCTTAGATGATGAAGAAAGCATCGTAATCATGAGGGGAAAGAAATATAGGGAATAGTGAAGGAGACATGATTAAATGGGAAAGGCTGTCTACTTGTTTCTTGTAACAAAGTGTACATTTAAAAACCATAAACCAGGGAATGTGAGCATGACTAGGTCTAAAGAAAGAAAGAAAAACTTGCAACTATACATGCATTGGAATAACTTACAAAGAATCAAATATAAAAGTTAATATATTGACATATTAAGTGTGCAAATTAGTGAGTGTCACTGTGACATTTCCATGCATGCATATATCATGCATTGACTATGTCCATACTTCCCTTCCCTCTGCCTTGCCCTCCCCTCTCCAACTTCCTCCCTTTGGCATCCTTCCCACTCCTTAACAGTCTCTCTTCTCCCACATCAAGAGAACACAGTGAAACCCTAAGAAAAACAATTTACAGTATATGCCAAAGGGCTGATGTTTTACGTTTTAATGAACCAAGACCTCTTTCTAGCCAGTAAAAATAAGAGGTTACAGGGCCGTTGAGATGGCTATGCAGGCAAGAGCACTTGCTGCCAAGCCCGAGGCCCTGAGTTGAATTCTGGGAACCTACATGTTGGACAGAGAGTTCTTAGTCCTGTAAGTTGTGCTCTGTCTTCCACATGAGCACACATGTACACTCACGCACAAAACAAATGCTCAAAAGGCTATGAATGTACCAATCTCAAGAGAAATATAAATCACAATTTTATGCCCAGCTTCACCCATCAAAGAAATGCAGGCTAAACTACTATATTCATTTTTGACCTATGAAATTAATAAATAAATAAAACTTCTTTTTGATGAAGGGTTTATGTAGACAAAGTTAGCCTTGAATAAGCCTAAGGTTCTGCCTACGGATTGTTAGGGTTACAGACATGACTTACAACGCCCAGACCCACAGTAAGCTTAAAATATTGTTATGTGTTTTTGTAGGGGTCTGTGTTCACATGAATGTGTGAAGGTGAGTTTGAGTACACATGCACATGTGTGTGCTTGCATGTAAAGACCAGATATAATTTGAGGTGTCTTCCTTAATTTTCCCCTACCTTATTCTTTGATCTAGGGTCTCTCACCAAATCTAGAGCACACAAATTGGTTAGGCTAATATCTATGGCCACTGTAGACTCATTTGTTTGAATGCTTGACCCATAGGGAGTGACACTACTAAGAGGAGTGGCCTGGTTGAAGTAGGTGTGGCCTTGTTGGAGGAAGTGTATCACTGTGGGGGTGGGCTTTGAGGTCTCATATGTTGAAGCTGTGCCCAGTACACACTCAGCTCCTTTGCCCATTTTTAAGTTAGATTGGTTTTTGCTATTAATTGCACCAATATTTATATATTTTGGCTATCAATCTATTATCAGACATGTAGCTTGCAAATATTTTCTAAGGGTTACATTTTTGTTTAGCTGATTGTTTCATTTGCTGTGCAGAAACCTTTTAGTTTGACAAAGTCTTGTTTGTTTATTTTTGCTATTGCTACCCATACTTTGATGTCCTCACTAAAAAAAAAGCAGTGGCCCCCTAATGTCAGGGAGCTTCCCCTCTGTTTTTTTTTTTTTTTTTTTAAGATTTATTCATTTATTATGTGTACAGTGTTCGGCACCAAATCTCATTACAGACGGTTGTGAGCCACCATGTGGTTACTGGGAATTGAACTCAGGACCTTTGGAAGAGCAGGCAGTGCTCTTAACCGCTGAGCCATCTCTCCAGCCCCAAATAATTTAATGGCTGGGGGTCACCACAACATGAGGAACTGTGTTAAAGGGTTACAGTGTTAGGAAGGTTGAGAACCACTGGCTTAGGGAGATCCCTCTTGTCCAAGCACTTCCTTGAAGGGTACTTCTGAACATGAACTTTAGTCCACAAGATTGGAATAACCATGCCACATTTAATCTTTTTTTTTTTTCGGTTTTTTTCGAGACAGGGTTTCTCTGTGTAGCTTTGGAGCCTATCCTCGCACTTGCTCTGGAGACCAGGCTGGCCTCCCAAGTGCTGGGATTAAAGGCGTGCGCCACCAACGCCTGGCTCCCATCTTTGTTCTTTAAAAATATTTTAAATTATATTTATTTGTGTGTATTTATGTGTGTGTGTTTTGTGAGAATGTTATAAAAAATATGTAGACTTAATGACATGACAAGTTAATGACAAATCAAACACTAAAGTTGTAAGGCAACAAGTTACCTTTACAGGGCGGTGGTGGTGCACACCTTTAATCCCAGCACTAAGGAGGCAGAGGCAGGGGGGTCTCTGAGTTCGAGACCAGCCTGCTCTACAAGAGCTAGTTCCAGGACAGCCTCCAAAGCCATAGAGGAAACCCTGTCTTGAAAAACAACCCCCTCTAAAAAAAGAAGTTACCTTTACTGATTGCATGTTCAGCCCACAAACCAAATAATTCTAATGTTATCAATAAATGTTAAATATCCACTGCTGCATGTAAAATAACCACCAAACTTAATGACTTCAGACAATAAAAACCATGTATTATCTCTCACAATTTTAGTGAAGCAGGGAAATTAAGAGTGGTTCTATTTGGCAGCTCTGACTCAGCCCCTTACATCCTGCAGTTGGGTGTTGGCACTAGTCAGTTGAGAACCTGATTGGAGATGTAGAATGTCCTTCCAAAGTGACTCTGCCACATGCTGGTGGGTTAGCACAGACTTTCACCACAGGGGCTTCTCCACAGGGCTGCCTGAATCCCTTCACAGCACGGCAACTGGCTGGTCCTGGAGCAAGTGATTAATACAATAGACCAAGGTATGAGCTGCAATGCTTCATATCTCTTGTGCTTGCAAGTCATCTGTCATTTTTAGGGCCAGTCTGAATTGAATTTGAGCAGGAGAACGTGAATGCTAGGAAGCAAGGATCATTGGGGTCATCCTGGAGACTGGCTAGCACAAATAGCAATACTGTTAACATAGAGAATGCTCAGTCATCTTAAACATATCACAAGATAGATGCCACTAATGGCCCCTACAGATTGTTTTATTGGGGTTAGTCAAAATTCCAGCATGGATAAGGGGATCTCCCCTTCCAGGTTCCACTCCTGTCAGAAGAATCGACAGTTGATAGCGCTGGCAAAGGGAAAGTATTCTCTCAGAATGTGGCTGCTGGGAGGCTGCTCATGTCCCAATGGATCGGCACACACCCACACACTCAAGGAGTTAAAAGATAAAAAGATAAAGTCGGGAGGGAAATGGAGTAGGGGGTGCCTGGGGGAGTTGGAGGTAGGCAGTGGTGGATGGGTAAGATCAACATACACTGTATAAACATATGAAACTTTCTATAAATAAAAACAGTAGTTTTTAAATGTGGTTAGACATTCAGTCTTTGGCTTAAGAAGCATAAAAATGATCTTATAATTTCACAATTAGACATTTAATTATTACTTAAATTTCATGTCATTTGGATTAACTTC